CATGGCTAAATTTTGAGTTTTTCTAAAATTACAGTTTTGCCACTAGAAATCTCCAATTTGATCCATACGACTACCCTAAGGTTTTTCGACGTTTCGGATTCATTTTTAATGTTATTTTAACCTAAAAACATTGCTTTTTATGATTTATTTCAAAACTAAAATAAATTCACACTTGGAACATTAAAATTTCTATTTTATTCCTTCGAACTACTATAGGTGATATCCTTACGATTTTAATATATATATGGTTTATTCTTAAGTCATTACATATAGAAGAATCACTAAACAAGTGCATTAATATATTAATGTAAACATATGGGGTTTTACACCTTCAAGGTCTAATAAGAAAGCACAACCCTTTACTATCCAAGGAGCACCATTGTGCAGATTTTTGGTCAACTTCATAGAATAAACTGATTTGATTCGGGTATTTCTAGGAGGTGTAACCTATATGGTTGGAAATATATACGAGTTAGGGTTCTAACAAAAAAAATGGTACACAATTCGGACTTTCCAATAAAGAGTTATGATAAAATTAGCGAAAGGTAGTCTGCCGGACAGATTTTTGGACAGTGTAGACACTACTTCGTAATATGGACATAACTCCTTCCTCCTAGTTCCGATTGAGATGATTCAAGGTGATATGGAATCCTAAGAGAGAGATCTACAAATTTTATGTTTTAAGTTTTGAGAGATATGGACTGCATCAAGGTCGAAATCGAGCTTGATGTTACAGCCAGTGCACTGTTCATCCCTTTTTCATTCTACCAAATTCAAACACACATCACTACACATATCCCCATTTTTACAACAATTATTTACTATATATCTATATACATATATAAAAGAAAATGCGGGGTGTTACATGAATACACACATTGAGAATATCCTGGCCCTCACACACACAACCAAATTCTTGCAATGATATACAATTTAGGAAGGGCATATACCGACGCATTAGCAGTGATGAATCCAACCCATAAATAGTATACTAGCCCTCAGCCTCGATTTCATGTAAGCGAATACTGGTTTGGTCTTCGCAAGACACCAACCACACTATGAGTGGTAGGGGACCTTCAAACTTGCACGGAGTAAGAAACACATCTATCCACTTTATGATACCCAATCAACGGTTATCCATGTTCATTCAAACATCCACACAAGAGATACAATATCAACCAATTTCTCAAATCACAAGTAAATCAAAGCCCCCAATTTCATAGGTATTTTTTCAACATAGCATCTTAAGAAAATAAGCAAGAGATCATCAAAAGATATGATTTTATAGTTCCAAATAAAGCACTAGAGTTTTTGAATCAAAAACAAATGACTATCAAGAAAAAAAATCCATCTCTCTCAAAAAACTAGGTTTTGACATCAAGAGCATGAATTTTATAGCTTTCAAGCCATAACTTCACTCAAAACATGGTAAGACTTGCAAGTACATCAAGAAAAAAGGATTCCAATATATATATAAGATTTAGAGTCAAAACATGTATATATATAAGCCCTAGCATCAATGAACAAGAGTGGGAAGAAACTCCTACCTTCTTCCTTTGTTTTGTGTGAAGAACTTGAGATTTTGATGTACTTCAATGTGAAAATCCTCCTTGATCTTGTATTTTTCTCCTTCTTTCTTCCTCTCTAAGAATTTCTAGGTTTGAAAATGTTGAAATGATGCTAAAGGGGGGCACCCTTATGTATTTATAACATAAGAAAGGAGTCAAACTGACGTAATTCTGATACTCTGATTCGTGACTCACATTCGAACGTCATTGGCGTTCGAATGTTAATTGCTCCCAGTACTTTTGTTTTTCCATCAGACAAGAGTACTAGAATGAATTATCGTTTGAATGGACTTTCACGTTCGAATGGTTGGCGTTCGAACGGACTCCCTATTTCTGCTGAAACTTTCAGTGAAGTTTTGGCCTATTTAAAGGTCGATTTGGAAACTTTTCATGAAATACACTTTGGTAGTCCTAGAAGTCTATTAGCTACTATAAAAATTTTAGCTCAAAAGGACATCAAAGTAAAAATTTATGATCCAAATACTAAGACAGTGTCCAATTTCTTCCTACCCGAATTCTTTCTAGAATGTGTTTGAACTTTTTCTGAAAAAATGGCAAAATGATAATTTGTCACTATAATGCGGGATTAAAATTCATATTTTTCTAAAATTCAGATGGTGCAACGGACCTCACCGTTGGATTCGTATCATGAAATCGAGTTGCTTAGTCAATTTTTATCAAATTTTGAGATAGTTATATTTTTTACGTTTTTCGAGACAACTAGGGGTCAAATGAACTCACAAACGTCCCCAAAAATAAAAATTATAAAATTTCCTCATAATTGAAGAAAAGTTTAAATAAAAATAATTTGAACTTAAACTAGGACATAATGAAGTCGTTCAGGACAAAAACGGGCCCAGAGGTAGGAAACATGCGGCGCAATGTAGACCGCGTAATTAAAAGTATAAATAGGGACTAAATATCTGATTTTTCAGATATTTTTCTCCCCATAGTCTGCTAGTTCATACGTTGAAAGAGGAGAAGAGAAAGAGAAGAGAAGAAAAACTAAATTTCTACCTTTCTCTTTGCGATCTATAGAGTTTTGTCGGTCAAAATCGCTTAGACCAAGAGTTAAAGTTGGTCACCGCGATGAGGGCTACGTCTATATACCATGAACGAAGGATTTTACTGAAGATCCAAGGAGAAAATTTTGTGAAATCAAGGATTTTTAGAGCTAAGGAGGTGTCTTGAAGCTTTCTCCCTTTCGTTTCACGCTCCGAGAGGTAGGATTCCCTCCTACTCTGGTCCATTTCTTACCTAGAGGGTTATATGGAATGGGTAAGTATGTAAAATAACATAGGTCAATTGACTATGGTTATGAAAATAAGGAAACGGGTATGAAAATGGCTTAAACCAATTCTTAGTTAAGTTTGGTATAGGAAATTTACCTGTGAAATTCCTTGAAACTTGATATGTGTTGCCATTGTGCCTTGTGAATGATGTGGACCAATTTGTGTGATAAAGTAAATTGTTTGCCTTGAAGTGTTTTGCTAAATACCTATGTGGAATTAAGTTTGTTATGGCATGAGTTTTCTATAACATGCTTGCGATTATGTGCCATTGATATAAATTTATGATAATTATAACATGCTTATGATAATTTATGATAATTATGTGCAATTGATATAATTTGTCATGACATATGTCAAAATATGTGGTTAAATTAGTTCATATGACATTTATTACATATGGAGCACGACATTGATATTGTAATAGTGCATTACATTGTATTTGCACGGGAAAAATACATCCAAGGTCATGAGTATGGGTGTGTATTTGCATGGTGGGATCAATCATCATACTTGGTGATTGATGATGAGCTTGGAAAAGTTAGATCGAAGATCTGACTGAGTCACATGGTTGCATAAAAGAAAAACTTGTGACGGGTATAGCAAGAAGAGATGGATTCTCCTTCGGGTGAAAGACCCAGCTACTTGGTTCATACACTCTCCTGTGGTGAAATTCCAGAAAAGTGTAATGACGTATGGAGCCAGCGGTGTGATTCTAGAATTTGATACCCAACAAAGACACATGATTTTATTTTACAAATGGTCATTTAATGTGTGTCATCCAACAAAATTTATTTTTATAAACACATAACATTGATTTCAAAATGATCATTGGATGAAATTCATCAATGATATATTTGCTACACATTAGCATTATATTATGTTGCGGTAATCAGTGAGGACTCGAGATGAGGTGCATGAGTAAGTATCACCTCATGTTCTTGTATGGAATGAATTATGATTGTTAAATATTGCATGTGCACATTTCATATGCATCTAGGGGGAGAGTAGCATCTGTAGGAGATACTCTATTGAGCGTCGCTCACCCTATACGAGAAAACGTTTCAGGTGCAAGGTTCACACCGGCGGAGGACTCTCATTCGGGGCCTCAAAGATAAAGAAAAGCTGACTTGTGGCTTTTATAACACATTTTGTATAATCTTTGTAAAAATTATGTTTATGAGCATATAATCGTATAAATGGATTGTAATAGAACTTGTACATATCAAGTTTTATGAGATACACATCAAGTAATAGAACTTGTATATATCAAGTTTTATGGTGTTGGAATGGATTGGAAATAAAAAAGTAGGTGAAATAGGTAAAAGTGAGCAGAGAGTATCGGTACTTAGTACTGGTACAACGTGGTCCAGTAGGTTAACTGTACCGGTATAGATGTTGGCAGTGTCGGTATAGCCTCGTCTTGAAGGCAGACCGTACCGGTACAACTAGTCCAGTAGGTTATCCATACCGGTACAGATTTTTCCAGTATGTTACCCGTACTGATACAGATTTTCCAGTTGGTTACCTGTATCGGTACAACCTTTCCAGTAGGCAATCCGTACCGGTATGCAATACCGATATACTTACCAAAATTTTGAAAATTTTAAAATTACTTTGCCTAGCTCTTGGGTTATGGATTCTTTGGTTCCAATGATACAAATAGATATAAAATAAGTATAAAATGTGGTACTTTGGACCACGATACGATTAAACAATAAAATATACACAGGTTACACATGTGGGTTATGGTCCCGGTTAAACCTAGTTGTGCGACAACCATGAGTATTTTCGCGAGTTGACGGATGGTCAACAGTTAAAAAATAACCCCCAGTTTTAGGGGCGTCACAAATGGTGTTAGCGACGGTGGTGGGAGGTGTAGGCGATGGTGGTGGATGGTGGTGATGAGAGCAAAGGTGGTGATGCTGATGAATGGTAATAGTGGCGTTGAGATGACGATGGTTGTTTAATAAATATAAAAAATAAACGAAATAATAATGAAAGTTTTTAAATAATCAATTTTATTAAAGATATTTTCATCAAAAATTAATTTGATAGGCTTTTAACTTTAAAAGTATTTAAGGCTTAAATCTAAAGCTAAAAAAACCCTTCAATGTGTACTTCTCACCAAATCTCCCTTAAAATTTAAATAGAGCTGACCATTATTGGATTACTTTATCAATGGCTTTTTTAGGTTGCCAAAACGCAAAGTTTCGTTTCATTTTCAAATCCAACAAACAAAAATCATTTTGTGGAAAGCGTAAGCACCCTTCTAATCACCTGCAATTCTGTCTGAAGGTAAACCCTTTTCAAGTCTTCCTCTTTTGATCTTGCTGTCTTTTTATATGTACATACCCAGCATAGAGACACACGCACATGTTGGAAATTTGATAAGTGAGCAGCAGTTCAAATAGAAAGTTGGTTTTGGGTTGGTGTTTAAGATTCCTTAAGTGCTATTGTTCTGTTTTTCCTGACTTAAATTTATGTTTACTTGATGGAGTTATTTGGTGGGTAGCCTTTTGTTGGATTCTTCGCGAACTTGTCCTTGAAATCTCTGACATTGGTGAAGAAAAACAAGCTGTTGGCTATGCCGTATGTTAAGAGAATTTCAAAGATTGAAGTGGTATTACTAGGTGGCAAGCCATTAGGAACTGAATGTTGAGATTGTTGGATAAAATTGGTTTTTTTCAATCTGCTGGGTTACAAGTGTTTTCTTGTTTTCATGGGTGCTATGTAATTTTTGACTAATTAGTCAACACCCGTAAGGAAAGTAACAATGATCTAGTACCAGGAAGATTCGATATGCTGGCTAGCCGCTAGAAGCATCAAGTGTAACTTGTTTTCATCTTTGAAATGTAATTTATAGATGAACTACTTAATAACCTTACGTGAATAATCTTTCCCTAAATTTAAGAATAATTTGTTAGTTGGAGAGAGAGAGAGAGCTATTAACGGAATCCAATCCTGTGAATGAAGGGTGTTGGATGTGATAAAATTCCTATCCCAGACCTTGCTTGTTCTTGTGCTGGGGGTCCGTTTGATAATTTAGTAAGCATGATGTCTTTGTCGGTTGGTTTGATAATGCAATCTCCTTGAGCAATATGTTTCTGATTTTATTCTCTAGAAAAAAACCTGTTGGTTATGTTGGCAGCTTCCTGAGTCTTTCTAAATCCTTTTGTTGGTAAGGAAGAACTTTCAACATCATACTGATGTACTTTCATGGGCACACACTAATCACCACCTCCTCTTCCATGGCTAGACATATGGCTGCTACTGTACGTACCTGCCACAAATCAATTGCATGTGCCCTATAACCTAGAGGATGTGTGTCTGCACCAGCTAGCACATTTTGTATACTGGTGTGTATACATTGAGAATTTGCATTTTGAGATTAGTCGCTAAGAACATTGTAATTTATAGCTTCTCCATTATCTATTGAAAACAATGGCATATCTCATTTAAAGTTCAATGACTTATGTCGCACTTATAGCATAGAACTGCATGTCTACTCAAAACCAAAAAAAGGATTGCATGTTCTAGAATTGATTATTTTGTTTCCCAATACTAAATTCTGGCTGGATGGAAGTTAACACTAATTTCTGCTGGTGGTACATTCTTCAGCACACTCTTCAAATGGCTCATTCTTCTCTGGATGAGATGTCAGAATCTGGTGCTTTCATGAGAACGCCTTCATCTTTCCGTAATTTGATTTCACAAGACCCAAATTCCCCTTTCCCTGTAGAAGCTGGAAGATATCATCTATATATATCATATGCTTGTCCCTGGGCATCCAGGTGCCTTGCTTATTTGAAAATCAAAGGGCTTGACAAAACCATCAGCTTCTCAGTAAGTTATACAATGAAATTTGATACTGTGTTGAATTTGTTTGTAACTACAAATTTGGCTATTTATCTGCATTCAGTCTGTCAAACCAATATGGGGGAGAACAAAGGATACTGATGAGCACATGGGTTGGGTTTTCCCAGCTTCAGATACGGAGGAACCAGGAGCTGAGCCTGACCACTTGAATGGGGCAAAAAGTATAAGAGAACTTTATGAGTTTGCAAGTGCACATTACTCTGGGAAATATACAGTTCCTGTAAATACTACTGGCAAAAGTGGCCTTTTCCTGTTGTAGTTCTTCTGCTTGTTTCATTTCACAGACTATATGTTGAGTTTATGTTTTGTGTAGGTTCTTTGGGATAAGAAACTCAAAGCTATTGTGAATAACGAGAGTTCAGACATAATCCGCATGTTTAATACTGAATTCAATGATATAGCAGAGAATGCAAGTTTAGATCTTTATCCTCCTCACTTGCAAGCCCAAATAAGTGAAGTAAATGAGTGGATATACGATGCGATAAATAACGGTGTTTATAAATGTGGGTTTGCTAAGAAGCAAGGGCCTTATGATGAGGTAAATATTTCTTGTGATTTTCCTTGTTCTTATCTTTAATTACAAATTAAGGGTGAGAGTGACTTTGACACCACCTTGATTGTTATCTTTTAAAAAGTTTATGGAAACCTCATGATACTAAATCGATTACAAACAATGTGACGAACAATTCTATCAACGACCAAACAATAAAATAGTAAGTGTCTATTTTCAAACAAAAGAAGTTACACCAAACAACAGTAATAAGAAAACAAAAAAAATTACAAACCTCCTGCATTACCAGTTCTCTCTTACCCCTTATTTCTCTCCTCCCCTGTTTCATCTTTTCCTCTATGTAATGTTGTATTAAGGAAGAAAAAAAAATTTCTTGTGGTTTTTATTTATATTTTCTCCATCTTTAACATTTTTTCAGTGAATTTTGATTGCAAAAAACTAATAATAATTGCACAGGCTTCTCGTGACCTTCATTTTCTAGTTGTGTTGTTTTAGCCCGTCAGAGAAGAGCTATTTCTTTTTCCTTTTACGTGTTGAAGTTCAGTTGAGGATTCTGTTCACAAATATCTATGGAAAGAATATCTATCATTCAAAGTTTGTTCTTCAGGCTGTAACTAAATTGTATGAAGCTTTGGACAAGTGCGAGGAGATACTCAGCAAGCAGCGATATATATGTGGCAACTCACTGACTGAAGCGGATATTCGTCTGTTTGTGACCCTTATAAGGTTTGATGAGGTATGGATTTTTGCCTCCTAAAGGAAGACTGGTGTCTTTTAAAATTGAGCCATTTGGCTGTCTTATATACTACCCAAACACATTTTTGGTCTGTATAGCCATCGCATTTCTGATGGTTCATTTCTGAGGAGTGCTTGAAAGGAAAAGAGATTTTATAAATTAAGTAATAACTATGTTTTTATATATTTTGTTCCCTTTTCTTGGAAAGCAAATGGAGCATGATCACACTCGGGATATTTGGCTAGTAGATCACTCTGATTTATCACTGCGAAAATTGGTGAATCGTATTTCTGAAGTTCCAACATGGCATTCACTAAGATGTGAATGGACTAAAACATTGTGCAAGTTACATGCTCGAGCTGTAATTCTATGATAAATTGTTGAAAAGTAAAATGAAGATGACAATGATGATGAAAAGTTTTACACCACAATCGTATATTGCCAGACATCTGGGATTAGTTTTTGATACAATCACATAATTATGTCTTTGATTCATTATTATTCTTAATGTTCTGAGTATGGTTTGAGCTACACGATAGATATTGCTAAGGCAGCTATTTGTTCGGTTAATGTAATCTTTTTTAGCTTTCTTGTTCTTGCCTTGATGAAATTTGCTGCAATTGCAGGTTTATGCGGTTCACTTCAAGTGCAACAAGAAGCTGTTGCGGGAGTACCCGAGTCTGTTCAATTACGCCAAAGACATTTTCCAAATCCCTGGCATGGGTAGCACAGTCAACACGGAACACATCAAGAAGCACTATTATGGAAGCCATCCTTCAATTAATCCGTTTGGAATTATTCCCCAAGGCCCAGATGTTGACTTTTCCGCTCCTCATGACAGAGATAGGTTTTCCAAGTCGATTTAAAAAGCCTTGCTTAGTGCACAAGGCCCGGTTGTTATGGGGTTGAAAAAGAGTCAGATTTTCTACGCAGTTTGTTTGTGCAATAATGTGAAACTATTTTAGTAGTTTGGGTTTTATGTGCACAAGACCCTGTTATGGGGTCTTAGAAGAGTCAGATTTTCTACGCAGTTTGTTTGTGCAATAATGTGAAACTATTTTAGTAGTTTGAGTTTTATATTGTTTCAAATAAATCCTTCTAGGCTCCGTAAACGAAGGAAAGGCATGTAAGATTATTGTGTTGAAAGGGGTAATCTACGGTCTATATCATTTTGGTTTGCTCCCGTAATATATTAGTACCTCTATATTTTGAAAACCTTTTTATACTTCGAAAAATTAAAAAATGTAAGCTGCATGTACATTGAACGCTCAGCATTGTTACAGAAGTTGCATGTGTATTGAAAAAATGTAAGCTGCACGGTTCATTTTCCTTTGTGACCAAAATAATGCATTGAAACAAAATTTTAATTCTTACTAGGTCATTAACATTATCAGACCATTTCGCGTCCAACAAAATCCCGAATCAAGAGAACACTCGACTATCCAAACTTTTAATTGATCCAGAACGATAACACAGCACAATAGCTGAGCAATATGCTTCAATATCAGGAAAGCATGAGCACACCCTTCTGAAGTTATACGCTGTGCATTAAATTTTCCCCAATGACAAACATAATTAGGTGCTTTGCGCTATTGATAGCCTGCTCTTGCAGCAAATGTTATCATCATAATCTTGGAAGTAACAGCAGGGTTTTATTGAAATATGACAGAAGGATTGTATTCCAAAGCCAATTAAATTATCATGTAACAGGCTTAAGGGATATCACTCCTTGCACAATGAAAAAAAAAGAATAGCAGATTTCTTTTCTCAAGGGTGAAAAAAAATCAAAGACACAAGGCAAAGGCCCAGGTACGCAAGAGGCATACAAATGGTCAAAACCAGCAATAATGCAACGAGTAAGAATTGAACTCTAGACCACCCTCCCCCTAACCCACCACCACCACACACAACAAAAAAAACCCTACAAAACCAGCCGTTAATTTGCAAAACCTATTAGTATCATATCTAGTTCCCCTCAAAGTTTTACATAGATGATGAAGAATAAGCAACACAAGCCACCGCACCTTACAACACCAAGGAATCACTTGAGATAGATCTAAGTGAAAGGGATACTCAAACTAAGAGTAGAGCCCCTATATATAATACAAAGTGACTTAAACATTCTTGTGATCTAGGCAAAAATATAAAGTCATAATAAGGATAAAAAATGGAAAAGAAACCCTAATAAATTAGATTATACTCCAACACTCTCCCTAAAGTTAGGCGCAAAAATATCAACTAAGCCAAGCTTGACAACTGAGTCTCGGAGAATAGATAGAATGACAAAATTGGTGAAAACATTCGCAACCTGATCACTGGTCCCCACAAACAATGGAGTAACAATACCACAACAAAACCTTCTCCTGAAGAAAGTGAACATCGATCTCTATATGCTTCATCCTCTCGTGTAATACAGAGTCAGAAGTGAGCTGAATAGCAGATCGATTATCACAATATAATGTAAATGAAGAAGTTACTAAAAATTTCAACTCGCCAAGAATCGATCGTAGCCAAATAATCTCAAATGTGCCAAGTGTTAGTGACCGGTACTCTATCTCTACTGATGAATGAGAGACAATTGTCTGTTTCTTGCTCTTTCAAGAGATAAAATGAGTCTCTCAAAAAGCACAGAAACTCGTAGTAGATTGACTGTCACATGCTCTCCCATAATCTGAATCTGAATAACAAGCTAGAGAACCAGTTTGAGATCCTGATCCATAGAACAACCCAAATCCAAGACAAGACTTGATGTACCAAAGAATATGATAAACTGCATCCAGATGAGGCTGACACAACCTGTGCATAAATTGACTAACTCGACTGACAGCGAATTAAATGTCTGACCTAGTGTTGGTTAGGTAGATAAGTCTACCTACCAACCTTTGATAGATAGTCGGATCTCTCAACTCATCACCTTCAGCAATAAGCTTCAGGTTTTGAATCATGGGTGATAATGTCAGTTTGCACCCTAGTGTCTCAATATCTGAGAGAAGATCCAAAACATACTTTATTTGAGAAAATAACTGTGACACCCCAAAATCCGGGGGTCCGTTGATTACCCATCAACCCGCGGAATACCCGTAAATACCGAGTGACTCGATATCACACCGTTACGTCCCATTTACCGAGGTCCATAACTTAACAAAATTTGGGCAGAGTCTCCTTTGTACAGGGAACTCTACCCAATACCCAACCTGTGCAACATAACTCACATGACCCATCTGAGGCCCAATATAAACAATGACCGCACCGGGTCCATTTATAAGTAAACATTGACCACACCGGGTCCAATTATCCATATTTATAGCAAAACATGCAAGGTTACTTTAACATTAGTGCATATATGTAATAGTTATCATTTAAATCCACCAAGGTCTAATAAGCCTCAATATACCTCAATTAGTGTCCATTTGTATCCTTGGAACTAGAGAAATCCAAGTCCATTGGTGTTCTTTAAATCAAAGAAATCCAAGCCTGGAAGCTTAGTGCATAGTTTGAAAAATTTCGGTTTTAGAGTCACCGTTCGAACAGCACTATTCACATTCGAACGTCCCTTGGTTTTGCAAAATAGGTAGCTCCCAGTACATTTGGTTCTCTGCTGGTTTTGCTGTTCAAAACTCGCACCATTCGAACGTCACTTTACGTTCGAACAGAAAATGCAGTTTCTGTTCTGCTGCAACTTCCAGTGCGGTTTTGACCTGTTTAGAAGTGAAATTGAGAAAATTTCATAAAAACACTTTTGTAGCCCTAGGTGTCTACTACCTACTGTAAAAATTTCAGATCATTTGGACGTCACAATAAAAAGTTATGGCTCAAACACTAAGCAGTGTCTGAAATTTCTGTGTATGATTTCAACCCCAAATCAATCCAAGGTTATCCAAAACTTATACAACATCTATTTGATACCAAATATAGTCAATAAAAGTTCTAATACAACTATTTCCATACTTTTACATGCCAAAATGGAAATTAACCAAAAGTTTTACAAAAACTAAATTCAAAAGCCACAACCCGGCTTTTCTTCAACCAAGAGCCCCCGAATGAGAGTCATCCACCGGAACGTGTCCCGTACCTGAAATTGTTTCCCGTATAGGGTGAGCACAACGCCCAATAGAGATAAACCTATAGAGGTTACTCTTCCCCTAGATGCACATGCTCATGTAATCATCACACAAACATACAACCAAGCATTTCTCACACTTATGCATCCTATGATGGAATGCAACAATGCTATGCCATGGAATGAAGTGACACTCACCCATGCAACTTTATTCCGAGCTCTCTCCGGCTCCCCAACACATGCAAGTGTCAATTTAGTCGAAACCACCATTTATGTTACACACAATGGCGTTAATCACTCTAGGGTCTTGTATAGGGGTGGATGTTCATGGACTTACACCAAGGGCCTCCAACCCACACGAAATTTACGGACTTCGACCGAGGGTTCCGAATACACCCACACACTTTATGGGCCGAGCCAAGGGAGTGCGTAGCCCAATCACCGGGTCTTGCACCCGAGAGGTCGTCATGCCTCTTCTTGCTACCCCAACCCAATTCATCATGCAACCAAGCGGCTTAGCTAAGTCCTCGACCCAACTCTCCCAAGCCTTCCGTCAATCACCAAGTGTGGTATTGACGTCAAACATGCACTCACTCATGTAATGAGACACTTCCGTGCAAATGCAATGTGATGTTCCATTGCACACAAAATAATGCTCAATATGCTTATGACAAACATATAAACATTTTCATACATCAATGCAATTGTATCATAAGTATATAACTACCATATCTCATTATGCTCAATATATCATTTCATGCATATGTCAATAACACTCTTCATCCAAAAACCATATCCTAAGCATATGATTTCACAATCACCCAAGCATGTTATAACATAGCATCATGCAAGTAACACACTCAATTTCACTAGGGCATTTTATCAAACATCTTATAGTCATTCAAGTCATGTATTTACATAACACATTCCAAGGCATAGTTTATAAAACACATAGCATGCCTTAAGTTTTCACCAAGTTACAAAATAATCACATGGAATCTCCATATACCAAATTCAAGCTAGAAGCTAGCCTAAGCTATTCCTATGCTAATTTTTTTCACTTTCATACCCATAGACATATATGTATAACAATACATATGCATATACATAATTTTCACCCTTAGTCTAGCAACACCTAAGGTAAGAATAATCCAAAGTAGGAATAACCCCTACCTCTTAGGAGTGTAGAAAACCCCTAAAACACCAAAACCAACCCAAAAGCTTTGATCTCCAAAAATTCTTCCTTTGATTATTCGGTGAAATCACTTCCTTTTGGTACGTAGACGTAGCCCTTGACGAGGAGAACGATCTTTGTTCTTGGTCCAAGCGGATTTGAGCACTAGAATTATGTAGATCATAGAGAGAAGTTGAAGCTTTCCCTCTCCTTTCCCTCTCTTTTCTATCGGCTGAAGAGGATGCTGAACAATGGGGGAAAATCTGATTTTTCCCCCTATTTATACTTTAGAACACTTGGCCCACAATTGGCCACATGTCCATTTTTAATTCCGGGTCCGTTTTTGTCCCGAACAATTAAATCTCGCCCCGGTTTAAATCTAAAATATTTTTATTTCAATTTATCTTATTTTATTGCCCAAAATTTAAAATTTTATAAAAAAATTCGTGTACAGGGTCACCCGAAGCCCGATCGCCCCGTAAAACGTGAAAAATTTGAATATCTCAGAATTCGACGAAAATTGACGTGGTAACTCGATTTCGCGAGACGAATCCAACGGTGAGGTCCGTTTTGTCATCCGAGTTACAAAAAATTTCAGATTTACAACCCGAATCATGGTGACAATTTACCATTTTACCCTTTATTCATAAAAGTTTAAATCTACCGGGATTTTACAATAACAATACCCCTGCTACTACGGGCAACCTCAATCCCAAGAAAATATCGCAAAAATCCAAAGTCCTTCACATCGAAAGGCTTCCCAAGGTCTACCTTGACCTGCACAATCCCAGAAATACCATCTCTAGTAATAACAATATTATCAACATATACAAAAAAAATGACA